AAACCCACGTTCTCTCTTCTACCATAGCCCTGGGCATGGAGAAGGGGACCACATAGCCATAAGGACTTGTGGGGCTCAGTGCTGAAGGAGGAAGAGGGGGTGGGGCAGAGCCCAGCAGGGGTGCAGGCAGCCCTCACGTTTCTCTTTGTGATGTTCCTGACGTCATTCACATATTTGATGTTGCCCTCATGCTTGACAGTTCCAACAGCGATGGATTCTTCACACACTTCGGAGGCGACGTACTTCTCCACTTTGATGCCCAATTCTTTCAGGACCAAGTACCCTACAGGGCGTCAGGGACAGAAACTGCATTAGGCTTGTCCTCCATGGGGCCCTCCCTGCAGTTGATTCTAAGCCATCTCTAGAGCTCAGACCAGACCCAGCAAGGACATGGCTGTCCTCGAGAACTCGGGCGGATGGCACAGAAACCACACACTGGCCACACCAGGCTCTCTGGTTTGTGGAGTTTCATGAAGAAAATGTATGGATAACTGGCGTAGCCCACCGGCAGGATCTAGCCAAGACTCCAGCACCTACCACCCAGCACAGTCAAACACAGACACACGGACAGGAATCCTCACCAAAACCATGTTCAGAAAACTCTTAAGGTCTGGTGGCATGGCCAAGGCTTAGTCCTACTATGGGTTATCTGTGCCGACACAAACAAGTCTTTATAAGGCCCAACAGAGTGGAGAAAAGCTACCAGTAATGACCGGACCCAGTCATTAAAAGCTGTCGCTGAGTTGGGAATCTGGACACCAATGTACACACATGAAGTACAAATGATGCGAACTGCACAGCAGCTCATTTCTACTTCTTCCTGCTCTGGTAATATGGAGATGTTCCTAACAATGCATCACAGGGTGGCTTTGAGGATTAAATAAGTTAAATTGGGCCAACTTTCCAGGACCAACACGCACGTTGGCTTGTGCTCATTCTATACTTGGGCAACCTGGGGATGTGGAAGGGAACCAAGACTACAGATACTCAGAACTGCCTAATTCACCTCCAACAGATCTATGCTTATGGAATGGAAAACCACTGTCCAAGATACTTGTGCATAATACAAAAATACAACACAGCTAAGATATACTTGTCTTTGAAAGGCCCAAAGGAGGGCCAGGTAGGTGAAATGGTGGGAGAGGTTTGAGGAGAGAAACAAAGAGTCGGTGGCTTTCTGAGAACAAGTGACCAACAGGTCATCCTAGGGGGTTTTCTTAGCATTGATGACGGGACACCTGGAGCAGGTGAGCATCCCTAGGTGAACTCCAAACTCACCTGTTGCAATTCCATCAAACAGGGATAAGACTCGAATGGGCCGCCTTCGGGCTGCGGGAATCGCAGGGTATAACTTGGGGGCTTCCTGCCAGGTTAAAGAAGGAGGTCATGGAGGTCAAGGTGCAGGGGGAAGACTCAACCTCTGGTGGAGGGGAGGGCTGACCTTCCTCTGAGAGTCACAAGCCCTGTGCTCTGTCTGCAGCTTCTTAGCTGGGATCCCCTTGGGAGCTCTGGCACAGAATGGCCACTCTACCCTTAGACATGAACACAGATGCGACTTTGGTACAGATACACACACACACAGAGACACGTTACCCTATCCAGGAATGACCTGGAGCCTCCCTCCATGGACTGCAGAAAGGAGCCCAGTTCCACTAAGACTTAAGAGTAAGTCACAGGCTTCCCTTCCCTCTTCAGTTCCACTAAGGCTAAGGCTTGGTTAGTTCTATAACCATTCCTTCAATCAATGAGAGGCCACGGAGGAGGGGAGAGAGAGCCCTAGAGAAGCTCGAGAACTGTGCAGAGGATGTGGTCTGAGGCTCTCAAACGCTCGTCCGGACAACGCATCTTTTCCATTAACTCTTGCCGACAGACTTCCAGAGCGCGCTTGGGGTGGGTTGGTGCTGGGGGAAGAAGCCTGTGGCTTACGTATTCGAGCCCCGTGTCGCTGGTGAAGAAGGCCTGCAGGCGCATGTTCCAGTCCTTCCGGCGCCGCAGGACGCCGTGACAGCGCTGTGGGAGGCACATGTAGCAGCTCCAGGGCTCCTGCAGCTTCGCATCTGCTGCCGTGCCTGTGCCCACCAGCACCTCCAGGCACTCCACACAGAAGCACCTGTGCCAGGTAGCCAAGGGGGGGCCGCCTTAGCCACCGGGCAGCCCTCCTACATACCCCCACCTTCCCTAGAGGGCAATGGACTGCCTGAAACCTTCCTGGGGCCCCAGTTGTGCCTCCCCAAGGGTTAGAAGGCACGGGGTCATGATCTGGGCTGCGCTAACCTCTTCCTTGGATGCCCACGCAACCTAAGCCCACAGGTTCTTTGCACAGAAAATCTCCCCACCAGAAATGGCCCATCTCCAGGGGGCCACGCCCACCCTCACAGACCTATGTTTCTTTTCTTTTTAAGGTTTATTTATATTTGAGGAAGAGACAGCACATGAGTGGGGGTGGGGGAGGGGCAGAGAGAGGGAGACCCAGAATCCAAAGCAGGCTGACTACACAGGGCTTGAACTCGCGAGCTGTGGGATCATGACCTGACCCAAAGATAGACGCCCAACTGACTGAGCCACCCAGGCGCCCCCTCACAGATCTGTTTCTAAAGCCCATCCCTACACCCCAGTTCTACTTCCAGGACACGATGACCATGGCCCTGTGGGATACCGGCTTGGGCCCAGCACCATGGCCTGGGATCCCTCAGGGCCACAGACCAGGCCCCGCAGCCCATGGCCCATGGCCCATGCTCACCGGCAGCAGCTCGTGTTGCTGCACAAAAGCAGCTCTCGGCCCTCACAGCACACAGTGCAGTAGGACTGATAGCCATCATCGTCGTACATGTAGAACAGCTCGAGGAACCGGTCCTGGCGGCCAGAGAGAAACGCCCATGAATTCAGAGATCAGGGACCACCAGGTCCCGCTGGCTCCCTGGCTGAGGCCCTAGGACGCAGCCACAGAACAGATGACGGGTGGCTTGGTGTCCTGTCCAGGGACCCCAGCAGGGGTCTGCATGCCGCTGCAGGATGGCCTCCCTCTGCAGCACCTAACGCTCAGAGCAGGGGTTGCACCAGAGGCTTCTCTATTGCCAACACGTGGGTGCTTTCCTCTGGGCCAGTACAGGGAAGTGCAGTGGGGAAGGGGCAGGAAAGCCCCAGGTTAGGACTTACCCGGCATGTCTGGCAGAGCCCACCCTCAAAGAGAGGGTGAAAGGACACAGGGTTTTTCCTACCGCAGGACAGACAGCTATCTGTAAGAAAGACAGGGATGCAGCTTTTGGCAAGTAGGGTCACAACAGCACAGTGGAAGCCTGGAGTCTAACCGCTCTTGTTACGTACTCCATGTTGGCTAAGTAACTCCTCACGCTTTGTTCCTTTCGGCAACACTTCAAAGTCGCAGCGCCCACAGTCCCCATTCCAGAGATGGGGAGAGGCCAGAACCATAGCCCCAGGCAGGAAGTCCCATGAGGCGGGCAGAGGCAAGGCCCAAATGGAAGACCTGAGGCAGGACACCGAGCAGGGGCCACTCTAGCAGTGGGATGTTCTTGGGAGGGCCTGGCCTGAAAACTCACGAGACTCTTTAAAGAGGAACGTGAGGGGCTCTTGGGTGGCTCAATCGGTTAAGCATCTTTTGATTTGGGCTTAGGTCATGATCTCATGGTTTGTGAGATCGACCCTGCGTTGGGGTCAGGCTGGGCACTGACAGCATGGAGTCTGCTTGGGATTCTCCCTCTCCCCTCTGATCCCCTCTCCCAGTTGTGCACGCTCTCTCTGCCCTCTCTCTCTCTCTCTCTCTCTCTCTCAAAATGAATAATCTTTAAAAAAAAAATGCCCATCGCTTGTCATCTGGTCATGATTTCAGGACATTGGTCCCTTCCCATTAGGATATTCTGCCTTCCCCTCCTTTCAGCAGGTCAGGAATGGCCCACATCGCTGACCATGTGGGCACGGTCATTAAAGTGCCTGAGACCAACCATCCCCAGCCAGGAAGCACAGATGAGTGACAGAGTGTTGGGGGATAGGAGGATGACGGGTCAAGGTTTCTGGGACTGTCAGGGACTGCTCCAAACCTGAGCTCCCCCCAGAGCGCTGTGGGTCAGGAGCGGTTGTTTTACTACCCAGCACTGAGGGAACCACTCAAAAAGTTATTTGCTGACTAACGGACATCAGGCTGAGGAAGCAAGAGAGAGTCCATCCATCCTCACACATTCTGAATTCCTTCAGATACATTCTGGGCAATTCCAGGGGCTCGTTCCCAGCCAGGATAAATGGACCAGAGTTAGCCTGAGAGAGTGATGGTGGTGAAGTCTGTCTGCCTTTTACCTCAAATCCCATTCTGGCTCTTCGCTGAGAAAGACTAAAGATGTCATAGGTCACGGTTTCGTTTGGAGTTCCCTGAGGACAAACTGCCAACCCTCCCCTTCCTACATACTCAAGGGGGTAGGATCAGTCTCTGTGAAAGTCAGACAATTCACTGCATTAAATGTAGCAACTAAGATGTCCGCACCCCAGCCCAAGGTCAAGGCACAGAGCACTGGGTTAAACTCCCACAGGGCAGATAAACAGGCCAGGGTACATCCTAGCACTACTCAGGGCAAGAAGGAAGACCACTACAAAGGAGAGTACATTACCTTCCAGGCTACCCTTGTTGTTGCTAACATCCAAAGCCATTTGTTCTGTTGAGAAAAGAGCAGATGGGACATGGCGTCAGGTAGCCTGTTACTCATCAGCTAAGCCACACTCGCTTGCTGAACGGCCCTCCGTACTGTCCCCACCCCCCCAAGCCCCCCACAGTGGGTGAGCTCAGGCCGCCGGCCTCCTCACTGCCCCACAGTCACCTCGACTCTGGTCCTCCTCTCCTCGGTCTTTTCCATTGTTATAGCAGTTTGTCTTGAGGCGCTTGGGTGGGGGGCAGTAGTCCGAGGTGGCCGAGTCATCGGCTGTGCGTCTTCGGGTCTTGTTCTCTGGGAAAGGTGAGGAGATGGCAGCCGTGGCTGGGGTGTGGGGGCGAAGGGGGGTGCGGGGAAACCATGACCCCAGGACAGGACCATGCCTGGGTGCCAGCCGCACCTGGGCCATGACATGGGTCCACACTGCGTGCCCGACCGCCCCTCTATGGACAAGTCAGAGGAATTCAAAATCCCTCACTCTGTATTTATTTACAGGGGTTTAAACAGCCAGGAGTATAAGAGAATACATCCCCATAGACCCAGCACCAGGAACATCAGACAAAGCCTGGCCTCTGATGTGCAGCACGCTGGCTAACAGCCACAGGTAGTGACTGAGCACTTGAGATGTGACTTGTGCTGACTCAGCAGATGCATGTTACACTTAATTTTGATGTAAATTTAACAACTGCCCATTGAAGGAGCCTGGCTGGCTCAGTAGGAAGGGCATTCTTGATCTCAGGGTCATGGAATCAAGTCCCACACGGGGTGAGGATACTTACATAAGTAACTTAAAAAAAAA